GATAAAAGAACAGTTAGCTCAGAACATTCCCAAATTACCATCTAAAGGAGCAGGAATACTATAGTGGACACTAGATTGGTTGAACAAAAAAAAAGTGCTAAAAAGTGACCATTTGTGATTTTGGTGACTCCTTGAAGTACATGATAAGCAATCTGAGTAAATCAAATTAAGTGAATAGGTCTTGAGTGACCACTCATCATAACAGAGGGAGACCATGCAATAGCCGCACACAGACTAGAAGTGGGACTGACAGAGAGCCCCATTTGAGACGAGTGAGGTGATTTCCACTGAACTGCTTCACCATTAGTTTTGAACAAGCTATACATTAATACTGTTTATTGGCCTGAGGGCAGTGTAGAAACAAACACAACCAAAAATATACAAGAAGATAATACTTTAGGACTTGTATCTTTCTAACTCTAACTCTCCCAAGCTGTCTGTTAACAAAAGTATCATGCTTCAGTCAGAGCACACCAAATAAAAAAAATATTAAATGACTCCTGTTAATTACAAGTACGCAACTTCCAGGCCCAGGTGTCTGGTGCGTAAGAGAACGGTAACAGGATTTTGCAAGCAAGAATTCCAGCCTGCTGGATTAGGGGAGACATCGGAATCCCATGTAGTTGTAAGACTTCTTTTTGCACCATATCAGGAACCAAGCTGGAGACAACTGGCATAAGACCAAAACACCTGAAAAGCATGAAATTGTTAGGTATGATCATTAACATTCACTGTGTTGGAAAAAGACCAAGTCCCATTACACTACTCATATCTTGCCTAAGGCAGATTTAAATGTCAAGGACAAACTGTCTGATGGACAATTGTTTATGGACTTGTTCCTTGTATTGCTTAATAAAATCAGCTCTGTGCCTTTGTGAACGCCTTTGTGAATCTAATGTGTAGTGTGAAACGCCGTCTGGGACATCAAAACATGGACCCACCCTGTCCTGCCTTTCTTGTTTTCATGCAGTGTGTACATACATGTTATGAATAGACCGAAAAAATGCTGTAAAATAGTTTACAGTTATGCAAATTGTAACACTGTACCGAAAAAGGATCTTAATTTTATAGGTAATAGGAAACAGTTATGGAATGAAAAATGGGAGTCTGCACATCAATGAAATAATTAGTCCAGACTTCTGAACAATGTGATTTTTGCAAATAACACAACCATGTCCATGCTCAGCGACATTAAAATAAAAGTGCGACATCAGACGGGGCATGGCTATGGCTTTGAGTAAGGCATGAGAAAAGCGAGCGGAATTGGGTTACTTTCAGCTCGTGCCACGGGGATAGCGTTGCCCTGGTGACTGCCGGGTTACGTGATGACGCTTAATGTATATGAGCGCGAGCGGCGGCGCCTCGCTCCCTTTTACCGCCTTCAGAGCGGACTGTTTTTCCCGGCCGTGGTCGCTCCGCTGCGCACTTCTAGACACGCCGAGCCGAGGCAACAGGAAGGTAGGCGAAAGCAAGTCTCACCCCGCTACGGTCCTGTCCGGGGCCCCGAATGTACTCAATTTCGTGCTTTTTTCCTTTTATTTTTATCATTGTGAATGTGTGACGCGTACAGCGAGACTCCCCCAGGACGGGCGCGGAAATACTGAAAGGTTCTGCACGCTAGCCTTCGTGCTAACCGTGGGGGCGCCGCGTTACTTCTCTGCCCCGGATCCCTGGCTGTCTTCGCGGCGGTATTTACTGTCCGGCGTGGGGGGCAACTTAATTTAAAAAAAAAATGTAAAAAGGCGTGAATGTCAGACGGCGGTTCGCATATGCTGTGGAGAAAGAAGTGCTGCTCCCGTTTGTTGAGAAGGAAAGGGGGGCTGCATGGTGTGTGAGACTGGAGGGAGAGGTAGCCAGAGTTAAGTTTTGGTGTTTGAATGAGACCGGGAATTCCGACTCCGAATTACTCGGAGGTTTCACGTCGGAGAAGCGGGAGAGTGTGTCTGTCTCCCGTATTACACCTGGCCGTAGCCTCAGCGCTACTCTCCTTAACCGTGAAACCTGCTCTGTAATCCTCAGTCCAGCCTATAGCCGTTGTGATTTGAGTGACTAGTTAGGCGCACCGTTGATGGTTAACAGATTAATCATGTTTTGGATCACAGATGTACACGTAGGGGCTGGCTTTGTAAACCCGCTGTCTCGGTCGCTTCATTTCTGCTAGCTTTGTTAGCTGTTAGCCTTCAACACGTGGCGACCGGCGGGTCCCGCTGCTCCGGAGGCGTGAGCTGCCGGCCGTCGCTGCTAAGCAGGCCGGGATTGGCTGCCATCCAAGGGTCGCCGCACGGTTCGGTGCATTGATCACCCTTCGCGCTATTTGTGTCTGTGCTGTTTTCTTAAACGCTGTTGCTAAATCTGCACGTTAGTTACTCAGAAATGGGATCTAGAAGAGCACGTTGTCACGTTGCATGTTCTGCGGCGTGCTGCTCGACGTGCGACTCCGGCCTTTGGGCATTAAAAATATGAAGGCTGAGTGCTGTGAACTTGATCCTGGTTTTTTTTCCTCACCCCGAGCATCCCTAAGTTTTCACTGATGTTTTAATGGCATGCTTTGTTTTAATGAGAACTGAGTAGTTTCAGCCTTTCTAAATATACACCATAAATCCTTGCAGACAATGGCTTTGTTTGGTATTTTGAGTTACCGGTCTGTGCACTCATTGTTTTGGTTATTTACATGGATTACTTGTATGACTTATAAACGACCTTGGTGAGAATACTGTATCCATGGTAATTAATAAACCCACACATCTGACATCAGCTGTGACTTATTTGTAGGGTTTATTTTGCCCACTGTGTGGTTTGATCCAGGTTGGATATGTGACCTCGAAGATTGTGACCTGAGTTGCTCTCTGCTCTCTGGCAGTGGCATCTGTATGGTTTACTACTGATGTCTTCCTGTCACTCTTATTTTATCTAGATCCTGGAAGTGCTGTCATTTCTGGCCCTGAGGGAGGTGAGAGAAAAGCTTTGCTTTTCAGTGAATATTGGGAAATTGTGTAGCTGGTAGCTTAGTACTTGATGCATTTGGCCCAGGACCTATAAGTGATATGTTTGGGCCTCAGGGATTGCCCCCAGTGTACCTGGGATTAATTGAAATAATCTATCCTTGCAATACTGGATGATGCACCTGAAACATAACCTCAAAAATATAACAAACAAAAAAAAACCAGATGATTCAACCTTTTAACACGTGTACTTATTTCCTTTGGGGAGGAAATATCTACTAAGCAGCTAAGTGATGGAAGAGTGGTGCCTTTCCAGCATCGATTTGGTCTTTCTCTGCCACTGGCGTTTGCTATTGTGCATACAGTTTAAAGGCCAGCACCTTGTTTGGACGCCTGTGCTCAGCTTTCTGTAAACAATCGCACGCATAGGAACTGTGCCTTTTCGCTGTTCTGTTCTCATCTCAGGCAGCTGATCACTTTGTGCCTCATTGACATTTTAGATACTTTTATGGCATCTCAGCACATCTACGTGGCTATTGGGTTGCTGTACTTTGTATACCCCCAGCTCATTGTACATTTCTGACCTCTTCCCACTCCAGGTGAATGGATTGTTTTCATAGGATGCAAAGTAGCCAATTTCGTGCCGTTGGTGTGGTCAAAATTTAGATAATCTGTGGATTCCAGGTGTTTGCTCAATGTTTGCTTGGTTGCCAGCACCAATACATATAAAATGAGGCTCAGTCAAATTCTGCCTGTCTCACTTTCAATTATAGTAATTATCAGCACGCATAGTGTTTATGAATGAAATTAATGCTTGCTAGGCAAAATGACCTAGTCTGGTTTCCCTTTGTTTCTTGCATGTTATCTTTGTAAAAGCTTGTTTTAAATAAGTCATTATAGCACTTTGCTGTCGGATTTAACGTGAGTGTTAAAATATTTCATGGTATTCTGCCTGATGACAGCTTCCCCGCTGTTAGTGCAGTGCCATAGCAAAAGGCTGCTGGACTCCAGGTGCCTCCACAATTGATGTTGCTGTCCCCAAACAGAAATGTAAGCATCTCACCCAGCTTTAGCTTATCAGGCCAGCAAAGAGCATATAGTCATTCTGTGCAAGTATACAGTTCTGTTTCACAGGTTAACTGAGTGCTATTCACAGCACAATCCTGTCAGCTTTGTAACTTATTCCAGCAAGGATCAGTTTTAAAATCAAAATGACTTCTGACCAAGACGTAATTTATAGTTCTGTGCTGTTAAGTATAAGGTGAAGGTTTCATTAATTCATCCATGTACCTCTAAATGTTTTGAAAGGTGGCTTGGAAAAGCTGCATGTATGTAAAACTGACCCCTGCCTGTCATAGATGGGTGATTGGATTGGGAGAGACAGCTTTAGGTTAATGCCCGCTGGGCTACTGTAGCAGAACTCTTTGGAATTTTAAGCTGACAAATTGCAAGGCCTGTGGGTAATAAATGTCCACATGCAACATGCCATACTTTATAAGTGGGAGATTTCACCCCTCCCTATCTGTCCACTTTGACTACTATCAAGTGCCATTTGAAGGCTCTTGTGTGAAGATGTCGAAGCGGTTTTGTTGGGTAATGGGGTCATTTTGTTTGGTGTGTAGAACACATTGGCCTGACAATCTTGTGTGTGTTCAGGAACAGCCCTGTGGTCTTGGAACCTCAGAGCTTGGTCTTTGGATGTTAGTGATATATAATCCTGCTTGCACCATGTGGCTGGATTGAGTCTTAGTGCTACAGTGCCTCTCCAGTCTGCTCTGCCAATAAACTAATGGATCACATATCTGAATAGGCCTGATACTCTACCAACAGTCTGTTAACTGTATATGTATTTATTCAGACATGCACAATATATGCTTTTGTAAATTTAACTGTGCTTCCTTATTTAACATTTACTTCTGAATAAGCTGAAATTTAAAAACTGTAACCAGTGCCCCCTACCCCCCACCCACTGCCTGACTCGTAGCAGGCTGGATTTGCTGTTTGTGGCTGTTGTGCTGTAAGCAGGGTTTGTGAGAGCAATTTGAAATGTTTGTTGCGTTAGCCACTGTGCATATGGCCTCTGAGTCCCAACAGCTTCCTGCCTGTATGGACCAGCTGTCACGAGCTCCTGCTTTGAGGTGGGGTGACAGCCGAACAAAGGCTGCGTGTGGCCCTTCCGGTGTGGAAAGGTTAATGTTTGCTTCAGAGGAGAATTGATTTTGAGCTGGAAAACCAGAGCTGTGGCTGAGGTTTAGCCTATTTAATGTATAATGACTTTCTATTTTTCTTTTTCTCTTCTAGGACTTTGCTGGACTGTACAAAGATGGCTGACATGGATAAGTAAGTTTTGTGGCGAGGGGGCAGTGTTTTTCATCTCTGCATTTGCTGTCTTTGTCCCCTCTTTGTGCTGTCCATGTTCTCTCCACCCACTCAAAATGCTACTACAGTATTTAATACTGGTTCTTACCATCTTAACGGGATGGAGCTTGTTCATGCATGGAGAGCTGCTTTCTGTGACCCTGGGCCTGAGGCCTTTTACCTGCAGACTGGTCCTCTTGTGGTTAATTTTGACCCCTGCTCCTCCAGGTGTGTAGAGACTGTTAAGCTGGTGTGCTGCCCCATGTCATTGGCTTATCTTAATGTGCCACCTAACCTTTGAGCCGTAACCCAGTTCTGAACGTGGAGGGCTCACCTCAGGGCCCAAGCTGAAATTTCTGGGTGATGCCACTTTCCCCAGTTGTGGTGAATAACCGTGGTTGGGATGGTGGTGGTGCTTTAATCTGCATCGACACCTCACATCAAACTGCAATTTCAAACCACTTCATACAATTTTACTTTCCCTGGTGGAGTTGTGTGATTGACCTAAGCTGAAGATTGAGAGTATAATTAAGTTTTCTGTACCTGAGGACCGTATAAATTTAAGGTTTAGTGTTGTAGCATCTCATAATCAAGTTGATGAATTTAGTCCGGTTTGGGAGTCTTATGCTCAGTTTTGAATTAACATGCCATGGATAATGGCACATGAAGGTCTATGAAAGGTGGCATTGACTGTTTCATGCTTGTGCTTGCCCACAGCTGGTTTGTACGCTCTGCCTCTGTTTCCTGGCTCCAGCACATCCCTCTAACACTTGTCCTTGAATGAGTGGGAGTGGCTGTTAAGCTGGTTGAGTTTCCCTGGGTGTGATTGCTAGGCCTCGAAGCCCTGTGTGGTGAAGGGGCGCCCAGTCAGGGACTTCTGGAGCCCTCCTAGCCACATGAGCCACTGGTAGTTATGGCTGTTGCTTGTGCTTTTTGTTGATGGTAGATGAATTGCCTGTCTGTCAGGTAGATCCTCAATAGGGTTAGGAAGCAGGGAATCCTTTTGCTACGTAAACAATGGTAAGTGCACATCTCTTAAGAAAGCGATACTTGGAGCTAGCTGACAGCCATGCAGAGCTTTTTCTGTAGGTGAAGACAGAAATGTGTGTGGCCACCTATTGTGCTTAATATGCATGGGTATGTTTGTGTGGAACCAGGGTGCGTATGACATTGAGCCCCGTCTTTACCATGCAGTAAAGACCAGACCGAGCTGGACCCTGCAGATGTGGAGGATGTGGAAGATGTGGACGATGAGGAGACTGGGGAGGATGTTAATACCAAAGGTAAGTGGAGTGTCCAGTTCATTCAGTTCTTGATGAGGCACCTTCTCAGTCTGGTCATGACTCGTGTTGCTGGTCCCATATCACTTGAAAACCATTGATTTGTTCAAAATTGTATTTTTTGCTGTTTAATTCTTGCTGATGGTTGATGAATTGCCTATTTGTCAGAGAGATCCTCAATAGGGTTAGGAAGCAGGGAAACCTTTTCCGACAAACATTGTCAATCATTCACTTAACATGGCTCTCAGCTGCGGCATGTAATCGTAACATCTTTATAAAGAGGTGTTAATATTACATAGTCTAATCGAGTAAGTTCTGCTTGGCCTTGCTCCTTTCGAAGATGGCACTTGACTCTGGTCACATGGTAATTGTGCCTTGTTTCTCTCTTATGGTTAAAGTATCACTAAAGTATTGCTCTGTAGTTTGGTGCTGAGGGACTTGTGGCTGAGGAGGTGTCTGCAGGACAGCTGCGTTTTGATGTTTCAAAATTGTTATGCAGACTTCAGACTTTCCCTTATCTCACAGAAAATGACACCACTGAGCTTAGAGATCTGCATTATTTATGGTCCAGAACTTAATTTTTGAATTAGGGTTTTGGTAACCTGAAAACTGTCTCCTGATAAATGTGGCACTAAAGGTAGGTATGGTTTACTTTTTCATTAAGTGATTGGGGGGTAGTCTAGGTATTTTTGGGTTTAGCGTGCTGGAGTTCAGCCAGATCACTCTGCCTGCAGCTTGCCAGCTCACAGTCCAGATGATGCGGAACCCACAGGTGCTGGCGGCTCTACAGGAGCGGCTGGATGGCTTGGTCGGGTCACCATCAGGCTACATGGAGAGGTGAGCCTCATCCTCGTTTCGTTCCTGGAGGTTGCTTTGGAAGGTATAGGAATATTGCAGATGTATTTAATGCTGGCCACTGAGGTCAGCTTCTTGCAACTGTGGTTTTCTGATGGTTGCAGCGATGGTCCTTCCTGCTGGATTTATACGTAGCTATGACTTGTCTCTCTGCCCCCTGCCTTACATTACCATAGCATAAAAATGGTGCGATCAATATTAAGCCCATAAGTGTGTATTAACAACCTATGATTTTTATCTTCCGTTAAATGTTGCAAACGCCCATAAAATGTTCTTGCCAACTCTTCCGCAATACATCTATCAAAACAGATGTATGAAATGCCTTTGGGTTAATTACCAGCTGTACTGTTGATCACAGAATGACTCTGCAAAACTCAGGACGGATCAGTTTCCATGGGCTGGTTCTGGTGGCTTCTCTTCCTCTGCCCTTATTCCATCTCACAGCACGGGTCGTGCTGGGACATTTAGTGAAGGTCACACCCCTGATCTGGAGATTCCACCAGTAATTGTGCCCAAATCATGTTAGTTTCTGCTGATGTATGCAACCTTGGATGCCAGTTTTCTCCTGTATTTCAGACCTCCAGAACTCACTAGAGTAGTAAAATAATATTTTCTGGATCTGGTCTCTTGAATTTTTTATTTTTTTTTTTTTTTTTTGTGTGAGATGGGTGTGGTGAATGAATTCTGTGCTTTCATTGTGGGTTGAAGGGAACCATAGCTGAACCGCAAGCTGGCTTCAGGGACCAGATGCTGGCGCCTAGATAGCGTAGCGTAGAACATCCATGTGGAGATGACAGAGCCATATGCGGAACACTGCGGATTAGCAAGCAGAAGCCTTAGCGAGGATTTAATGGCTGTGGTGGCAGGCTGGAGCGGCTCCGAGTTCACTGGGGTCTGTGTCTCATGGAGCTATGCCAGGGATTTTCTGTTCCCTGGAGGGTGACCCCAGGCTGGGCCATAGCAGTGGCGGCAGCTGCTGTGGGTGTCACTCGCCCTCCGTCGGATGGACTCCTGTCATCAGCATTCCTATCATCTTTCCTTCAGCTGACCACAAGGGTTTGTTTACTTTTGTTTTTTTTCTGCTTCTCAGTTTACCCAAGGTTGTCAAGAGGCGTGTCAATGCCCTCAAGAACCTCCAAGTGAAGTGTGCCCACATCGAAGCCAAGTTTTATGAAGAGGTCCACGAGTTGGAAAGGAAGTACGCGGCCCTGTACCAGCCGCTCTTCGAGAAGGTGAGCGTGCGTGCCAGACTCTTGGGGAGGAGTGAAGGGGTTACCTGCTTTAAGCCCTTGGATTTATCATTTTTCTCCATGCAACATGGTGAAAGGAGCTGATCAGGTTGTGTGTGTGCTGTCACCTCACTTCTGAATTGGCAGGTTGCCATTGCTCCTTCAGTACTCTGATTTTTATGATGGTTCTCTAAAAGAGAGCTTTCATCACCAACTTCAGAAGATGGAAATTGTCTGATTAGGCTGAGGATGGAAATTTAGTGATCTGGGATATGTACTTTAGCACGAGCATTAAATCATTACGTAGCGTCGCGCTGATGTTCAGTAAAGTGATAGCTGCTTACACTGTAGACACAGTAACCCTTTGGTTGTCTAGACTGGTTGTTTAGTCTGAACTGATGTGTCCCTCTCCGCAATCCAGCGGAGCGATATCATCAAAGCGGCGTATGAGCCTACGGACGAGGAATGCGAGTGGAAGGCAGATGAGGAGGAAGAGCTTACAGTAAGTAAGCAGGTACTGGTGACGCCTCTGTCCATGTGATGTTGTGCATGTTGTCATGTGATGTAATGCTCAGGCAACACTTGATTCTTTGTTTTAGCACTTTAGCACAAGCTGTTTTCAGATATGGGTAAACGTGCATGGTGTGTTGACACTTTGTGCTTGTACATTTAATCCTTGTTAATCTGACTTTCAGTGACCTGCAGGAACAAGCTCGGGAAGCAGCATTACTAACCCTGTACTTAATTTAAGCCATTGTTAAATATGTAATTGGACGGTGGTTTCTGGCTCTCAGTGGAAAGAAATGGCTTTTCGAGGCAGCTGAAATGCCTCGTGACTGTGGCACATAGGGCTCTTTTGGTGCTCTTTGACATATGGTGTGGCAATGGTGAAGGGTCATAGTTGCATAGATCCTGTTTTATAATTGATGGATTAAGATGCAGGTTCTGGTGCCTTAGACCACTGGCAGTCTGTTGACATTTACTGATAAGAGCATAGGCTGTCTACATGACTTTTAAAATTCTGAATGAAACAAGCAGGTGAATAGCCTGCCTCAAGCATGTCTGTTCCATACCTTTATTTCAGGAGGATATGAAGGAAAAAGCCAAAGTGGAGGAAGAAAAAAAGGATGAGGAGAAGGAGGACCCAAGGGGCGTCCCAGATTTCTGGCTCACAGTGTTCAAGAACGTCGACTTGCTCAGTGATATGCTGCAGGTATTACCAGCAAATCGGGAAGGGGGCTTGTTCGCCTTCATGCTGCACAGAGCCTTTCCCGCCTGCCATTTGGGAAGCCTGGCTGCTGCTTCCCCCTACTGGTGGGTCCTGATATTTCAGCTGTAAAGTTTGGCTGTATCTGCTTCGTTTGTGCCTTATGCAGTGTAAGTGATCTGTGCAGTTAAGTTCATCTGCTGGGTCAGCAAGCAGATGGACTAAGCCGGCCCTTTGCCAGACCCTGCCACAGCATGTGTTAATACGAATTCCTTCCTTCCAGGAACACGATGAACCCATTCTCAAGCACTTACAAGACATTAAAGTCAAGTTTTCGGATCCCGACCAGCCAATGGTTTGTCTTTACTTTGCTTGCTTTAAGCTGACCATCTGTGTCCTTTCATCAGTGAGTTCAGTATCCTTCACTGTTACTTGTCCCCTTGGCCCTTTGCTGTCCTCAGAGCTTCACGTTAGAGTTCTACTTTGAGCCCAATGACTTCTTCACAAACCGAATGTTGACAAAAACCTACAAGATGCGGTCAGAGCCTGATGAGGCGGATCCGTTCTCCTTTGACGGGCCGGAGATCATGGGCTGCACTGGGTAGGGCCCGTTCTGTTCTGGTCACATGGTTAAGGATTGTCGCTTGGTACTGAGGTTGCTTGCTTTTGCACTTTCTTGTTAGTTGCCAGATTGATTGGACTAAGGGCAAAAACGTCACCCTGAAGACGATAAAGAAGAAGCAGAAGCACAAGGGACGTGGCACAGTGAGGACGGTCACCAAGACTGTGCCCAATGATTCCTTTTTCAACTTCTTCAGTCCCCCTGAAGGTAGGAGCAGCACCAACCCTGGACTCTACAGAAGGTCTTATTTTTTCAGTGCTGGCAAGTCATTAATGATTATTTTTCTTTTTCAGTCCCTGAAAATGGAGAGCTGGTAAGTTAGCTCTTATGAGCTTTGAATATACCCGCATGTCTTAAATCTGCTATATTAAGTAGCATCCTATTGTTGCTTCTGAGCTCAAACAGCTCATTTTACAGCTTGTGCATGCAATGATTGCGACTAAGATTGATCTGGCGCATTGACTTTCAGGACGAGGACTCTGAGGCCGTCCTCGCCGCTGACTTTGAGATCGGCCATTTCATCCGCGAGCGCATTGTGCCAAGGGCGGTGTTGTACTTCACTGGCGAGGCCATCGAGGACGACGATGACGATGTGAGTTTGCCTAGGAAGGCAGGTGCCTCTGTAGCCTGCGAAGGCTGTTGGTCCCCCTCCTGTTTTGATTGCTGGTTTCAGATTAATTCCCCTGGTTTAATTAGTTTGGACCAGCAGAACTAGATTAAAATTGGTTTCTCCCCCAAAATATAAATTGCTAGTGTTACCTGGCAACACTGCATGTGGGGGATGGCAGCCCCAAAGAAGTGTTGTGGGAGTTAAACTGACAGTGCGATTAGATTAAAGGAGGTGGGTGGGTGGGAACCTTCACTGTTCTGCAGGGAACTGAGATCAACATCCCAGGTAACCTTTGGGGATCCTGCCATGCATCTTGGTTCTAATGGACTTATTTCTCCTTTCAGTATGATGAAGAGGGTGAGGAGGCTGATGATGAGGTAGGAGCCTTTACTGATTGTGTTAATTGAAGAAACATTTAGCTGTAGCATAGATGGTGTCTGCCCCCCCCCAATCATATGGTCTGACCTTTTTTCCCAATGATTTAGGAGGGTGAAGAGGAAGCAGATGAGGAGAACGACCCAGATTACGAGCCCAAGGTGTGTACCCAGCCTCAGAGCGCTAGGGTGGAGACATGCAGATCCCAATGAGAAATTTCAGGCAGAGCCTCTGGTATTAGGACCTGTGCTTTTCTGTTTTTTGAGACTTGCATGCAACAACTAGGTTGGTATGTTTCACATCACAGATCGTTAATGGAGTAACTATAGCGATTTCTGTTGCTTTTCTGGCCAATGTATTTATGCATACATACATGCTCAGTTTTAGTTTCTTGTGAGAACTGAATTCATACTAATGAAATAGCCTTTACTACTTTCGGATATATATCCCGTTGTTTGCTGGAGTGGGTGTGGTTGTGCAGATTGACTGGTTCTGGCTTGGCTTTAGAAAGGTCTCCCTGTTGTTTAGTACCACTTGGTTTCAAGCTTTCTGCTGAATTGCTGGCTGACGCAGCATGTGAATTGGTCCTGCCCCCCCCCCCCCCCCCCCCCCCCCCACCCCCCCCCACACCACCACCCCAAAACCGATTTGCTCCTGGCACATTCCTGCAGAGTTGGGAGTTTGCTTATTGGCTTGGTATTGCCCCATGAGTACACACGTGTTTCCATTGAGGATGAATTTGCTTTTACTGCCTGTCTGTCTGCCAGCCGTCTGCCCCTCCGATGTGATGCACTGTGCACCTTTTTAAAAAAATGGTTTTCAGCTCCTCTCACTTGGCCCCTTGTCAGCTGCTCTCTAAATCTTTCCTCACTAGGTTTAAGTGATGTCTGTAGGCATAGCCCTCTCCTGGTAGGTACGGCCCGCAGACTGTCCCCTTAATGCCTTCCACCCACTCCTCCATTTTTTCCTCATTTGCACGCTACTCCTCACCCCTTGCCACTGTATGCTATTCAGTTTCATGCCCTCTAAGTTGAGGCTAAATTTGCAGTTTGTTACAAAATTGACGTTTTGCCGTTTGTCAACACCATTTGGCATGGAGTGAAGGGCACAATTGTGTGGTTTAGTGTGGAAGTTACTTCGATTGTTCATAAGTGTTTCTGTATAGGGGGGAGGATGATTGCTTTCTTGCGTATCCTGGAAGGACTGTTTGTGCCTGTCCTGCTAGTCTATACCTCCCTTCCCTACAGCACTATTCCGGAACCTTCCAGAATACTCGCGTGACTGCCTGTGCAAGTGTCACCCCATGTGATAGTTAAACCCCTTTTGTGTGTGTTTCTAATGTGATTGGTGTGGGATTACTTATTTACATATTACTTATTTACTTATTCACATTGTTGCTAATGTGTCAACCTATTAAGGCTCAGACACCCTAAAAGGGGTTATAAACGGACACTGGGCAGTAACAATGTAATATAGTTAACTTTGAGGGGGGTTCTGCTAGCCAATTACGGGCCCAGTCCACCCCCCTGGGACGACAGAACACCTATAGTGAATGACCATCTAAGAATCTCAGCCTTAATGTTTGTCAGGCAGTAGTAGTTTATTGTGCTGATTTGCAGCAGATGTGATGAGTGATAGCACAGTATCTGTCTCCGCAGAAGGACACGAATCCACCAGCAGAGTGCAACCAACAGTGAAGCCGGAGCCCGTGGCCTTGGAGAGTAACTGCACTGTAACAGCTTCTGAAACAAAACATAGTTACTTACAGCCTTATAATGTTTTATATATTTTCTTGGTAGAAATTATGGAATTTCAACATTTTTGTTACCAAACTCGTATAATGGGGGCCAATTCCAAGCCATGGCTCATTCTGCATAGTATTTTTAGTTTTTTTTTTTTTTTTTTTTTTTTCGTTTTAGGATAAATAGAATGCAGTAACTCACTCAAAGCATGAACTTATTTCTCCACTGCTTGATAGTTTTGGGTTCTTTGTGAAGTCTTGTTGTGCTGCTCTCAGACAACAGCTGTGGAAAGACAACCGAGTTCGTGGTGTGTGATAGCCCGTGTTCACAAACCAAATCCTCACTCTAAACAACCAGAGTAACCTAGCTGGTTGCCCCCCGCCCCTTTTTATATATATAAAAAAAAATAGTAAATCTGAGATGGTGACCTCATGTTTGTGGTTCTGCCGCGACCCTTGTTCTTCACGCCACTGCTCAGTCATGTCTGCCCACACTTTTTACACCGCCAGCCAGTGTAAATGGGTGAAATTTGGGCCGCTTTGACCGCTGTGGTGTTGGTTGGTACCACTTTGGCTGTTAGGAGCGTCTGGAGTATCCGGCACCGGGTGTAGTACATTCCGTTGTACAGATGGGACATTTATAAATTCATTTCATTGGCAGCCATGATTGCTTTTGGGTTAGATTTGTGAAATGAATTGCATGTCAAAGCTGCTGAATCCCCAGTCTTGTTTGGGTTGCCATGTTTGTGGCTTTACTTTGCCGAGCTGATGTGGCCCAGTCTGATGCGTTCCAAATTTTATGTAGCAAGTTAGAGCACTATGGGTAGCAGTGAGTATTGGATTCTTATCCACATTTCTATGCTGGTGAAGTGTTGATCTCCCTAGATGGAGTCTGAGCACTTGTGTCTTCAGTGAGTGGTACCATCACGTTGCTGCAAAGGGTGGTTTGACTGGAATCCTCTTTGTCTGCTGATGCCCACAAAGTGTTTTATTGGGGTGAGGGGGGGGGTAAATTTGTCCAGCACATAATCTTGGGGAAGGCATATATCGCATGAGTGTTTCGAGCTGGCTAAGGTTTGAAATCCAGCAGCCCTGACTTTCAGCAGGAAGGAAAGGTGGTTAAACAAATTAGAGTAACACAGGCTAATTGCCAGCTGGTTTTCCCAGACTATCACTGTGAATGGATGACTTTGTTTTTTTTTTTAACCTACCTTTGTAGCTGGAGATGGGGTGTGGGGTCTGAAGTGGCAGTTTCTGCCCGATGTTCAGGACCGCTTTCCCAGTTCGTCCTTGGACCTTCTCTGATGGTTGCAGTAGGATCATTAACAGCACTTGGTTAACAGGAGCCGTGGTCACCTGGTTGGTCACGACACATAGCCCACTTACTGTGGGCAAAGTGCTCCCGCAGTTGCTGCTGACGCACGTAACCTACACCATAGGTGATGTGGGATATCGATGCAGTCCCATTATAAAACTGGATTCTGAAGGGGTCCCTTTGGTGCAGCTGTTGTCAAAGCATAATGCTATGCTACACAAAACTAATGTACTCAATTGTATGTGTATTGTATATTCATGAATAAATTGGTTAAATGTGCACCTGTGTAATCTGGTCCTTTTGTTGAAATGTTAGTATGTGGGCAAACAAACTTTCTTTTTTTTTTTTTTTAACTGTATACTGGTGATAAAGGGGCAACTACCTGCTAAATCAGCTTGGGAGAAGGGACTCAGCTGGAGCATTGCCTCTGCGGATTGCCAACGACACCAGTCAGCTCTGCTCTTTGTCTTTGAAGGACATTAGTCAAATAATGTCCGACAACCGCTAGGCGGCAGCCAGATTCCTGAGAGCGCCATAAAATGCCTTGCACTATCGATCGGTTGATTTAAAAACTTTCTTTGCGTTTTATTGTAATATGATTTCGTAGTATAATTTACCAACTTGAAAAGGGGATGTCTTTCAATTTCCACGTGGTATAGCTGGAATGTTAAGTTCAACCAATTCGGTTCAATGGACATTAACAGGAACCCCGTGATTTGGCTAGGTTATGCGAGTTCTGGTTTAATGACTTGGGTCTCGTTTAAAAATGTTTATTTTCAGTTCCGCGTCTGTCATGTTAAATTTTATAAGGCATTAGTCACCCCGTCAGGTTTTCAGTCAGACGCGCTGCGTATTAAAGAAGCTCTTCGATCCGAGCGCGCTCTACGTTGGATGCCGGCCGGGGGAGGGCGAAGGGGGCGGTCCACACGAAGGTCCCGAGGAAAGCCCATGTCACGTCGGCTTGAAGGAATTAGTCAATTTACCAGCGCTGCCGACTGGGCTCGTACGGAGCTGCGGTGGATCGGCAAACGCAAGCTGCCTGCATATAACAGACAGCCGAAGCCGATGTGCATGATCTTCCTGGTCAACAGAGAAACTGGCATTGTATTTCAACTAGCGACATAGGGTGATTTTTTTCATTATGTTGGATAGCAGCGGAAAGGTACTGAAGGAGGGGCTGATGGAGAAAAGAAGCGACGGCTTGCTGCAACTGTGGAAGAAGAAGCACTGCGTCCTCACGGAAGAGGGGCTCCTTTTGCACCCCCCGAAGCAGCACGACAATCCGCATCACCAACAGCAGCAGGTCAAGGAGCCGGGCAAAATGAAGGAGTTGCATTTCTCCAACATGAAGACGGTGGATTGCGTCGAGCGGAAGGGCAAGTATGTTTACTTCACGGTGGTCATGTCCGAAGGGAAAGAGATCGACTTCAGGTGTCCGCAAGACGAGGGCTGGAACGCCGAAATAACTTTGCAGATGGTGCAGTACAAGAACCGGCAGGCGATCCTGGCGGTACGGTCCACGAGGCAGAAACAGCAGCTGCTCGTCGTGCAGCTTCCAGGGCACAAAAGCATCAGGAATTCGCAAAATGTGGTGTAAACTGTGATGGATGCTCGAGATGGGTAAGATCAGATTAAAGGATGTTTTTAATTTAACAGTTATTTACGAAACTACCTCCAGCGAAAACTATTTGAGAACCACGAGGTTCGCATTACCGGACTAGCAAGCGCGCTGTGCGGGCTGCTTGGTTCAACATTGTAACCTTGGCTTTATTACCTCCAGCAAGTGTTAATTTAAAATATTGCCACGTACAACAGTACAATTTACAGCAGGCTACATTTAATTTGCTTCGTTATTGACGATGAGTGTAACACGATTCATCCAGGTTAGTTACTCCACATGTCTTTAGTGTAGCCTACTAATAAGTTATCACCTGAACTTTTCTGAAACCCGTTAAAAACGGACCTGAAGTAAAACTCTTTAAACGAAAATCTGCGACCAGCATTTTTCATCCATATTAGTAATTTTTTATATCTATATATTGCTCAATGCAGGAAATATACACAATATGAGACATTGTAATATGCCAAATAGAATTTCGTCAAAATGTTTAAATGAGTTAACCATACGATACGTAGGATACAAAAAACTCTACGTCCACGAGCACAGATCTTTTCCCACATACCTTTAAATACCGTAAGTGGGTGCAGATTAATATTTGGATTATATTAAGATCTGTGCTTTCCCTATATATGAATTACGTATGAGAACGTAACATCTGCACTGCAATTATTGGCCGGTGCCGGGTATCAGGGTGATACAATCTTAACGTAAAACCTTGTAAGTCGTGTTATTTCCGTGTTTGGGCATCTGACTTCGCATTATTTGCTGCATTCACAGGTCAATGGGACCATCGACCGAGGCTCCCCAGCCGCTACCGGCTCCTGCCGTCCTCGCCGAGCTGATAACAGGGGCCACCCGATCGCAGTAAATCGCTTTTTGTTTGATTCAGAACAACACCCATTTCCTCAAACTTTTTTTTTTTTTCTGTTCTTCGTTTACTTTCCCACGAACAAAACAGACCTTCGCTTATAAAAGAAGGAAGGAAGAAAAGAAGATATTTACATCCACCTTGCGGGTTTTTTTTATTTTATTTATTATTTGTAAATATTTTCCCATGCGTTTGACATTTATGAATGTGAGACGATGGATGTTATGTATGTCGGAAGAAAGGTGGAAAGACGTCAGTGGCTTCACAGTGTACTTTTTAAATAAGATGTACAACATCTGAACCCTTGGCTATACAGCACAAAAACCAGGTACCCATAGGAAAGCCGTCTCACCGGCGAAGCAGCGCAGTGAACCGGAAAGGCGCTCATCAAAATACCACGTTGTTCCCATTTGTCTTGTTGAATTAAACCAAAGACCTAATGCACAACTTCAGATAAATTTGTTACAGCATAATTTATACCATGCAATTTTAGTTTTGATAAATTATATGTTTTATTGAGACAGTTGGATTAAAAAAAACGATTTTGTTTTTTTTCGCTTTTTTATTATTATTTTTTAAATTATGTTTTATAGGTCTACTCACAAAGTAGTAATTAAAGAGACCCTTAATCATTCACCTGCGCAGCCGTACTGTCACTATAGGAAAGTTACTGGTTGAAGTTCGCGCCTTAAATTCGCCGTTTATTCCGTTAAAGTGGAAGTGTACTGCTGAGCTCTGTGTGACGGAGTGTAGCTCACGGGCACAGAATTATCAGTTTACTTTGGGTTACTTTGTGACTTTTTTTGTCAAATGGCTGTGCATTAGTGTTGAGTCTCAGTCCTATTTTGATGTGAGATGTATTTTCATACTTCTTAATACATTCCATTTCACTGGAACTTTGCTTTTGTGTAGTTTTTTAAAAAAAAATATTTTTAGACGAAATTTGGAAGGAAAAAAAGTGGGCTGTCGGGAATGTGCTGAAGTATTGCTCTCTGATGCAGTAGACAGTTGTCTTCCCTTTTTTTTGGTAGCTTTTCAGCCTTTTTGATTATTGCAATTGTAGAAAGGCAATTTTAAGAAGTGATGACAACAGTCATGTGATGTTTGAATCAACTCTTAATTGAGATTGATCAATTAAATTGAGCCATATGCACCCGTCTGCATGTTCATGCCAGTCCCACATCCCACAGTCTCATCAGGGTGGTCCAGTGTTATCATATTCCTCAGAACCTGTAGCATGGTGCTAGGCCTCAAGACGGCCATGCTGGTCTGTGAATGTTCACCAGGTGCTCCCTAGGGGGCAGCATTGTGCTCAGCCTAGCTGCCGTCATGCCTGCCCACCTGCCCAGGTCAGCACTACCCATGGATGTAGATTATTTGGGAGCATGCAAGGGGGATTTGCCACATTCCTGATGTCTGGGACATACTTGTTGGGGATGAAGTTGAAACAGTGTCCAGCCTTCCTGTCCATATTCTTGCTAATCCTACAAAAGTAGCTCAGATTGCCTAGAAATCATTAAAAGAGTGAGAGGCGTGTGGTGGAGGGATGCTTCCAAGGGCTTCGACCCTGGTGGCTGCTTGGGCCCGACAGCCGCTGGGACAGTGGGGGAGGACAGGGTAAGGCAGAAGCCATGGGCTGAGTCACACTCACCATTTGCTCTGCTGAAAATAATCAGACGCAAATTCTCCCCCTTAAGTGACTGACTCAGAACTGATTTAGTAGACAGACACTCGTTTAGTAATATTTCTGAATGGGGCTGAGGGCATGTCTGGGACTCAATATGAAAAAACACTACTAAGATTTTGATATTTGAGGGGAAATACACTTGAATAAAGAAGGAAAACCAAGATCAATAGTGACCATTATACCATCTTCAACACACTTATCTTGGGAAGAGTTACAAAACCCTATTCCAGGCAGCATTACACCTACATTCATTAGTTAGGGCATATTTAGAGATGCCTAACTGCATGTCTTTTGACTGTGGAAGAAAATCCGAGCATCCGAAGGAACTTTGGGAGAGATGAGGAGAACGTGCAAACTCCGAAGACACGGAGCAGAGGTGGGACTCAAACCCCCAACCTCAGTGGTAACAGTGTCACCCCCTGAGCAACCATTTTGGTGGCACCATATGTGATTGCATTATGATTTGCTCCAACTGTGCTCACATAGAACTAGTCAGCAGAGTTAAGTCGCAGATGTTTATGTTTCCACATGCGTATTGAAGACTTTTCAGCATTTGCCAACAGCGGTCTGGGAGTAGCCGCTCTATGTGTGGAGTCTTGTGCTTCTGTGCCCCCATCAGACTCAACCGTGGGTTTCCTTTATTTGGGAGCAAATACAATTCAGCACAATTTGTTTTTGTGGAGATGGAGGCAGACCGATCCATACAGAATTCAAACCCGTGATTGCAATAAATGTTTTTTCATTGAGACTGAATATGTGCTGTTATGTGTCTCTTGCAAAGGGTACAGTTGTAAGCTATGATTATGGACCGAGGATGTGGTTTTTTTTCTGAGAGAGAAAACAGCAGTTAATCAGCCTTTGAATGAAGCCCAGCCGCTTGGGATCTGCATTCTTACCTGCTTCAATTGCTGAGTCAGACGAATTCCGGAATAAAGGCATGAAGCTAATTTTTGGTTGGAATAATTTGCTGTAAAACCAAAATTTTATCAAAATGACAGAAAAGCCATCTATCTTCCAGCTCCGTTCAGGGTCACGGTGAAAATGGAGAATAATATGAGATGATTTTACAGGAAATATTGCTGCTGAAAGAAGCAACATTATATTATCATTATATCCAGTAGGGAACCCGCACTGCTCTGTTTGGATATATCATTATTTGATGCCGAAATACCTTTGATTCTCGTTATTGTCACCTTTGTTGTGTGATCCCCCTGACAAAGTATGAGGGGCGATTGCAGGGGGACATAAGGGTGGCCATAATTTATACAGAGGGCGAGCCTTATCTTTAGCCAATTATGTTTTGAATCTGTGAGTGATAGAGGAGGAGGCACTCCGGGAGCCAATCAGATTTCAGCTAGGGCCTGGTGCCCCGCCCCTGTTTACACCTCTGCACCTTGTGTTGTAACCCCCCTTGCCTACACAAACAGGTGCAACTCAGTGGCCAAATGGACTGTCTATCAAACACCTGAAGCACCTCCTCTTTTGGCAGGTGGGCTGGGGGGGGCTTTTCAGCCACAGATGAAATACAATGACTGAACATGGAGTTTGTTGATTTGGTAAGCAATTAACTGCTTGCCATGTAACCGTATTGGGAGAGGGGGGGGGGAGGGGAGGGACATCGCTAGTGATTTTGGGCTCCATGAAAGCACATCATATTGCACCCCAACCTAAATATGTTCCAAAAACAGAACATAGACCGATGCTTAGTTGGCCCCCTGGCGGGAGCAATAAGATCACTCCAGTGGACACAGATTAAACCTGTGTTGGGTAGCTGGGGAACTCTCTGCAGCCACCAATAGACCGTGTAGACTGTGGGTAAGTCAGTCAATTTAGCTTCTGCTTTCCCAGAAAATCATGCAAGAACGTCAGTGGCACACGTGAAAATGGGACACCCTGGTGAAAGTGACACCACAGGAAGTTATTTGATGCTGAAATACCTTCTAATGACTAAAATTTCACAAAGATGGTTATGATGATGTATACTCAGGATTACTAAGGAATTCCCTTCCAATGTGTCTTTGTTCAGCAGAATTAGTTATGAGAATAAACTTGCTTTACATTATTTGTTGTCAAACTACAATTAAATCATCTTGACAGTGGGGATTAAAATATATTCTAGTGTATAAGAAGAAATTATATGTCAAAGAGGGAAACAACCGAATATTCACTTCTCTGTTATACAGCATAGTGTCTGAACATGGCAATACAGTGAAGTATAAGCATACATAATGAATACATAGCTTTTGTCAGGGCACACAGCTACTCTACTATGGCGAAAATGGAAAAATTACCCGTATTAAGACCTTTTATTAAGGAGGCAGTGTGTGGCTCAGCGGGCTCTGAGCCCGGGAGCAGAACAGTCACATCTCTGGGCCCTTGAGCAATGCCCTTAACACCCAGCTCCATGGGCACCGCTGCAGGTGGCTGCCCTTCACTGCCCTTCACTGCCCTTCACTGCCAAGCTTGCTCTCACCTGTGTATGTACCTGTTGTCATGGAGAGCAAGATGGGGTAGGCAAAAAGAAAATTTCCCTATGGGGATCTATAAAGTGTAATTATTATTTTTTATGTCTGTAGAGTAACCAATGAGTCTGTGAGGCTAATTCGGTGTGGTGATATTCTTTAAAAAAAGGGAGAATCCTTTCATCTGACAGTTTTATGATGCCTCTGGTACTGCAGTCACAACGCTTATTGGAATTTCACATACACAAAAATGTTCTGAGGGCAGAACGAAAAATGATTGGTTCAGAGAGATAACCAATCAGATTGTAGATGAGGTAGATCCAAGCAACTAGATGAGACGGGACCAAGACATCTGATTGGTTGGTCCTGCATCCTCTAGTTCAGGGTAATTTATGGTCCTCGAGGTCCGAGCACTGCTGGTTTTCCAGCCTTCCTTTACCTGTCAGTCAGGTGTGAAGCCTCTGACCAATCAGAATCAGTAATTATTAAACTAACTACCTGGGAGAACTGAAAACAAGGCCTGGATTTGGAATCGAGGTCCAGATTTGAAGAACCCTGCTCTAGTTGCTTGGATCCACTTCCTCTACAATGTGATTGGTTATCTCTCTGAACCAATAATTTTTCTTTCTGCCGTCAGAAAATATTTGTGTAAATAAAGCTCCCATGAGCTGCCTTTACAGGCAGGTGCTATTTGGGTCAAGTCACCTGCCAAAGCAAGCTAAGTGCCCCCAGTTCCCAGAGTTACTGATAACGAGACTGACTGCTTTGGCAGGACCACTGATATCCCCATCCCCAGCAGCTCTGCCTTTCTGCTTTTTGCTCGAGATAAGGGGCTTCATGTGTAGGGTCTCCTCTGGGTCGTAGAATGCAAAAGTCATTAAATTTGATTTATGACTGAAAGGTCAATTGCTGGATTCTTAGAACGTACAATATTAAATGTCAAGGGCAGACATGAAATGCTTAGACTGTATGCATCAGGGTTAGTGTCAGGAATATAATAATCCAAGCTACGCGAGAGGAAATCTTAGTGAACTAGAGAAGAGTGGGTAAGAATATTAATCAGATCTACTGAACTAAAGGATATTTAATGAGGTTCTGTTGTGGTTCTGCCCCTACTGTTGGCAGACACCTTGTGGAATATCTCGGTGAGAATCCAAAGTGGCATGGAAGCTGAGAATGAAAATTCAAGACCGTAAGGTTGGAATTTCTTGGTCACTCTGTGTAGATTTTTTCAGGTAAAGGACGCTATATCATGTTTGTCACGTCATACCTATATTTTGCTTGCATACATTTTATATACTGAATGTACTTGCTTAGAGAAAACCAGACATTCAATTAGGTCTTTATTTCCTAAAGTAACTGGAACCTCTATGAAAGTATTAAAGGCAATTTCGACCGAAAATTCAAGCTCACAAAAGCATCACAGAGTTGAAAGATACTCATTAAATGGCTAATTACCAGTAAATGGTTAAAAGACTTCATTTCATCGCAGTGCACGATCTGATGCCCTAATTAAATACATTTGAAGCAACATTACAATCGATGGAGTGTTTTTTTAAACCAACAAACATCTGTTGATGTATGAAAAGCTTATATATGTTGTATCTCAAAGTCAAAGTCATTATTTCAGACTTGAATGTCAGCACTGGTAGCCTTTTCAGCTTTTATGTAATCTTTGGTATCAGACCAATCAGACTTTGGTAAGCATTAAAAATTCTGTGTAGCTCTGCACACCCAAGCACGTGTC